TTAATATCAGAGTAATAACTGCAGTTATTTCCTTGCCCAGGAGAAAAGCCTCACCGCTGTCAGCTGTGCCCATTTGCATCTGCATACGAGCGTCACTTGGAAGCCCACATGCGCTCACACACAGGAGAGAAGCCCTACAAGTGTGACCTCTGCGCCTTCCGATGCAGTGACCGCAGCAACCTGTCACACCATCGGCGACGCCGCCACAAGCTTTTGCCCACCAGGGTGGCACGCTCTCCTTTCTCCAACAAGAGAATGCTGAGCGCTTTGCAGAAGAGGACAGCCTCGCTGGGGTTCGGGCGGCGCCTCCTGATCAATCTCAACCCGGCCTCCGTGGTGATGCCAAAATCGGATTTTCTGACTGACTTGTCTCACAAAATCCACCATTTAAACAGCAGCGAGTATAAGAACGCTCCCAGGGTGGATGAGAAGGAAAGTCGCAACAGGAGTGCTAATGGTTTGACTTATAAAAACCCACTCGACCAGGTGTCTACACTAGCCGGTCAGTTGGCTGAGCTCCACCCTGAGTCTCAGACTCCCGTGTCCCCAGACAGGGAGTCAATAAAAGATGAGAAGCCCATCCTAATACATAATGTCTCCAGTGAACAGGTTGCAATGTGCTCAAATGGAGTGCAGATATCATCACTTAAAAAAGAATCTCCCACCTCACACCACGAGAACTGTAGTCCTGCTCTGAGCCTTGGCTTTGAGAACAACATGAACGCTCTGACTGCGTGTGTTAGCAACAGCCAATCGGGCACACCCGCCCCTGCCCTGACTATACCAGACCAGCAGGTCGTGTATAAATGCCAACATTGTCATATTCACTTTTCTGACAATATCCTCTACACTATTCACATGGGCTGCCACGGCTATGAACATCCATTCCAGTGCAACAGCTGTGGGCATAAATGCGCAGACAAATACGATTTTGCCTGCCATTTTGCCCGTGGCCAACATAAAAAGTGATTCCTGACAGCACAGACTTATATGGAGCCCTTGTTTTTGTTATATTGGTTATATTTAGCAACTGAACATAGTGAGACTGTTTAACATTTCATGTTTTAAGTTGTTTTCTTTTTTTTATTTTACACTTCTACATCTGCACTATACTGTTGCCTTACTGCTTTTATACCTTGATCCCTACTTTGGGCTTGTCGTATTAGTTGTGAACGTACAAAACCACAAATGACACTTTACAACACATCATAGTTTGTTGTGAGAGTTAGTTAATGCCTTGTGATATCTGTACTCC